GGTGACTGCTCGTCAGAGACATAGAGCTCCAGGGCCAGGGCAACCTGTAGAAAGGTACAGGGAGAGAGAGAGGACACACTATGGGACACAAAGTTAGTGATGTGTAATGGTGGCATATAGAAGCATAGGGAGAGAGGAGAGGAGAGGAGGAGGGGAGGGGAAAGAAACTCAGAGCATCATGGGGCCCCCCAGCAGCCTAGGCCTATTGCAGCATAACTAAGGGAAGGCTCAGGGTCACCTGATCCAGCCCTAACTATAAGCTTTATCAAAAAGGAACGTCTTAAGTCTAATCTTAAAGGTAGAGAGGGTGCAGAGAGGCTTGTGGTCAGTGTCCACTCATGTTTCATAAAGTGATACTTAGAGTAGACCTGAGCAGAAGTCGGTTTGTCCTGTTTGCCTGCACTGAGATATGCATGTCACATGAGAAACCTATTTACGCCCTTTACTGACAAATGATTCACCTGCATGTGCATGATATATTGATTTTACATTTTTCAGTCCTTCACAAAACATTTCAGATTCTCTGGAGAGACTGTGATACATTACAACAACAACAAGCAGAAGCTGACTTGCAGTTCATAATCACATTCAAACTGTGACACCTGTCATATTCACAGGTGACCACATTCTTGAAGTCCTACTTTTAAATCATTTTTTCCTAGTAGTAAATACCTACAATTGATATACTGTATGTAGCTAATTACTCTGTGTTTTCAGCATCTTCCGTTTATATGCTGTTATATAAAGTATTCATGAATTCACTGATATCTATTTTGCCATCTTGTTTGTAACCATTATTGATAAAACAATTCAAATATACCATATTATTGCCTCATCATGTAAAGTAATGAGTAGGAACTGATCTTTGTCAGTCCAAACATTTTGTTGAACAGTATATTTGAAAACAATAAAGAATTTAAACCATAATATATAAAAACAAATTTGCTGTCAAATGAAAAATAAGCAATAAGTTGTTTATTGTTGCATATAATCAAAATGATACCCTGATGAATAATGCCAAACTACAGATATGTGTTGTACCGCTGGCTGGAAAGCACAGTATTTAAAACAAATAACAATGCTGAATTCATTGACAGCTTACTGTACATACTGTCACTCACTTTGACTTAAAAGCTATCAAAGCCCATACATTTGTTCTCTTCTTGTTGAATGTTATAGAAATTTAAGCTTTTGCTACAAAAAGAATCTGTACGTTTGCATCTACCTCAGCTGACAATACATTGTCCAGCTGGTGGTTTTGATGGACAAATGACACATAATCTTAAGTCTGGATTAACTAAACTGCAGTGTGCGCTTCTGAAACTGAGACATAAAACACTCGTCATCAGTCCGTGACAAAAACATGCTTCGCTTTGCATCTAGAAAAGTCATTCACTGTTCATATCATGCCCAAGCTAACTTGAAATGATAAGGTAATAGTGAATGACCATAGAGGAGAAATGCGCTTTTACCATCTTTTTTGAGCCTTTTCTCTCCTGTCTCTCTCTGTCTTGCTATGCTCCAGTCTTTTCATGCCATGGGTTTGCTGCATGACTTTAATAGCCTTTCCCTCTCCTCTATTGCCATTCTCCTCTCTTTATAGCAAGTCCCAGTCTCTTACCAATACCTTCAACATTCCAGAAACCCCAGCGCCACGAGCCAGCCTTAGTCAGGAGGAGGTGAAGGCTGAAACCATACGCAATCTACGCAAATCTTTTGCCAGTCTCTTCTCAGACTGAGACGACATAACCCCCCCACACACCTCCTCCTCCAACTGACAAAGAGATGCTCAAGAAAACTGAAGGACTGATTTCTTCCTCCCCCAGCGAACAAGGACCAACAGGATGTCGTCTCTAATCAATGTACTTTGACCCTGGTATGAAAATGTACACACCTGACATCCACTGCCTAAATGGAAAAAGAAATTGCTTCAAATGATCAAAAAATACGCAGTCAATTTAGGCTCTTTTGTCTGAAACATTCCTTATTTCACCTCAAGGTCATCCACTCATCATGTGACACAGTCTGTGAGTGTAGACGCCTGATCACACACCTCACTCAAAAGCTTGTATATGCATGACCACACATACACAAAAATAAGAAACAAAACAACACAACGCTGCTCCCACTTGTTTGTCGGTGCTGTAAAGTTGCTGTGATCTTTATGTTCGAACTTCGGTTGGTTTGCGGACCAACCGCATGAATCAATCAAAGTATGAGAATTATTGGTGTGGGGAGGACTGTTGCATCTTATCTCAATTTTATATAAAAAAGCAACTGTTTGATGTAACTATTTAACCTCTTTTTTACCTAATTAATATCACAAACATAAAACATGAAATAAAATTTAAAGCATGGGGTAAGATAAAAATAAAAGCCTCCCCTCGCTTTCTACCCTTCCTTTAATAAAAAAAAAAAGAAGAAGACAATATCCTCCCCCTTATCTGCCCTCCTCTGCACTAATAATTTTCATACTATCCCTAATTCAGCACAGCTGCACACACAGGGTGTCCAGTGTTAACTAATGCTAGATCTGTTTGAGCTCTTGACTGGTGATGTCTTAACTGCATGTCAACACAAGGCAACGGTTGCCTTTTCCAGCCCCCGACATTGGCGCTTGTAACTGTGTCGTCACATATAGTTGAATTACTTAGTAAAGTAGCCTAGTGGGTGTTGTGAATATGTAGTTTTCTTCCTGTTTTTTGTCGCACAAGAACAAAAGCTCAAAAGCCCTCCACCTTCAAAGCATGCCTTACACAGAAGAGATCAAATGGAGCTGTCTCAGGGATGTCCAGTTGGTTGTGGCACTTGTGTGTGGGTGAAGGTCTTCCATTACTATATTATTGTGGTTGTTTACCAATAATGAAGGAAAAGCATGCATTTTGTTGAGGTAGAATGTCATTACTGTTTCAAATGCATTTGCACACAGAGCATAACATGAAGTTATACTTGAATACAGTCACATGAACTGATATATGAAATCTATAGTTTCAGGTTTGTTCATTTGCTACTCAACAAAGGAACAACTCACTGCTCCCAGTCTGCAATGTCTGTGACAGGTGTGGTACAGTAGGATAGAGCTTGGCAACTGTTGAAGTACAGTTAGTGAAAAAATAGATTATTTTATGTTGCATTTTTTATTGATTTCAAAATAATGTAATGAGAAAAACCTACTGTATGACTGCACACCAGATACTAAAGGATTTAGCTGTTAGTATATTGTGATTTTGCAGTGATGTAACTCAAACCATGACTGTGTCATACAGTGATGCAGAATATCTGCTTCCATATATGTCTCTCAGTTTTCAACATAATCTGTAAGAAGAGGCCATACTCCAAAGCATACTCAGCCAAGGAATGTTACATACTGTATATGCAGTTCATCTATACAATAAAAAAAGTAAAATAATGCAAAAGTATTTTAATGTGAACCGTGGTATGCACCTCTGCAGTAGATTTAGCATTCCCTGCCACCCCTCCTTAAATCGAACAGCCCTTTCTTTGATCACTACTCTGAAAATCTGAGCTGGCACTAAAAATGTCTTCCAGAAGGAGTGCTTTCCATTCAAGTGCAAACGCAGTGTGTCAACATCATGCTTATTAGAGCCACAAGTATAAAGGAGTCTTGGTTCCCTTGCAGATTCTCCATGCTGCCTGTGTTTATCAGTCTGTTTGTGTAGCCACAGTGACCCCTTGTGCTCAATGGTGCATAATGTGTGAATGTTCTGTAACCGTTCAAACCAAATAGATGTGCTGTACAGAGCTCTGAGTGATGCAGAGTGTCACATTTATCCCCCTTGCTGCTCTTTGTGCTTGCTGATATTATATGTGTCTCTGACCTTTTTAATTTTGCTTCTTTAATTCGTGCATTTTCGTTTCAGTTATTTTGAACGTGCTTCATTTTTTTTTTCTGTGAGGCAAAACTATTTGGTACTTGTAAGTTTATGCATCAGTGATTCTGGGCTTCATTTTTAAATTTTACACCGACTCAGTACACTGTTGTTAAATTTATCATGGCACAACCTACTGCCAGGGAAATCAGTAAGAGCAGCTTTGTGTAATTGTTACACTGAGTGTGTAATTTATAAAAATGAGCCATCACAACCAGCATGGGTGTCTAACTCTGTCACTCAGAGGCCTCTTGGCCATGTTAAGATATACCATTTGCCATGGCACCGCCTGAGACTGACAAACTAGACGGTAATAGCAATGCAAATAACTGGTTTTATGTACTTATGTTTTTGATGTTCACTTTTTTTTAAAGTTTAGATTAGTTACGGTTGATATAATTGACCATGAATGGACGTTGTTTTCTTTGTTACCACTAGTTTTATTGTTTTTAAATGCATTGTAAAATCACAGTGAAAAGACTGGATGCTTAAGTGATTGTCAGCTTTAAACTTCATAAATGTGAGTGCAAAAATCAAAAAGCTGAAGTTTTTGTTAATCAGAAAATAAGTTACTGCATAATGCAAATCATAGTGGATTATTGAATTAAGTGTAAAAAAAATTGATGTTATATGCATTGTAGCTATATTATGTGAAAATGAGTATGTTATTAAACATGCACATGTCTAATAAAGTCTGTGATCAACAATGTTTATTTGTTACTGACTGAATATAGAACACAGAGTCTTTCTGTATGTCAGAAAGAATGATGTTAGAGAGGAACTGACTGAATGTTTGTTGCAAACTGTAAAACCGTGCACACTTGTCTTTCACAGTAGTTGTAAATGCAGTCATTCCAATGTGACCACAAGGTGGTGTGGGCCCACATACTGACTACTAAAGCCTTCAGCTTTGCACTAGATTAACCAGGATTATATAATTCATTTCAAGCATTCTACCTTTCTGTGTGCTATTCATTACATTTACACATTTACACAAAAGACAAATCTATATTTTTAAAGGCTTTTTTTTTTTTTACTTAAGTGAGAGATGAACAGTTACTTTCTATTCAGCAGTTATTACAGTAGAACAGTTATATTGTGTCTAATGCTGCAGTCATAGAGTTTTAGTGGAGTTTTGTCTTCTTTGTGTTATGAAAAGAAGTAAGGGCTCATTCTGAGTCATAGAAACACAGAAAACACAAACACCAAAGTGTATGTAATGCTATTAAACAAAACTAATCTGGCACATATGAACAAATGACTCCATAAATAGCATTTATTATAGTTTAGCCTATCTTTCCTTAGAATATCAGCCTAAGTCATGATGTCTGAGGAATAATATGTATTTGTAGCTGGCCAATAATAGACCCCCCCCACCACCACCACCACCACCACCAAAGAATGACTGTGTTTCAGCCTTGTTTTGCACCAGTCAATCACTGCATCTCCAGCTGAAAGAAATACATTATAATTAAAACATTTTACTTTCTCCCATGCAACTATAAAATGACTCGCCCGGTCTAAATGTTTGGGCTGGCAGATTTTATGCAGCAACAGAGTTCAGCCTTAATCACCAAATAAATCTTTCTCTCTGCCATGAAAGTTTTCATTGCAGACAAAAGTGTCTAGAGTGCAGAACCCAATTTGCAGGCAGGATGTTATATGGCTGCTCACTCACGAAAGGTCAGTGTGGGTTTTAAAGCTCTGCCTGATTGCTTGCATTTCTTATCTAGCTGCCCAGCAGCTCTTAACGCATCTAGATTTGGTTGGCAGTTAAGAAAGGGAAGACATCATTTTATATGGCATTCTACTTTTTTTGCATCTAATATTTGTCAGCATCATTCACACATAGCAATGCCTTTAGTATCTTGAGAAGACAACAGGCTGTTTATCATTATCTGGCAAACTAAACCATCCAGTCACAAGAAAACTACAAGGACTGTAATATTATCCCAGTATTGTGTAAACATTCTGATACAACTTTCAACTATTTATGACTTTGCTTATCACGGATAAATGATTCAAGGATGTTACCAGTAGTAGTCTTGTTTGGTTATGGACATAGAAAAGACAAAACAGGAGGGACACTCAGGACTTCTTCTCTGAGCCAGTATATTTCTAGAACTGACCTGTTTACAAAGCTGTGAGAACGGGTGTATCTGGAAACTGACAACCACTATGCATAATTACATTAAGGCATGATTAAATTGCAAATTGAAATAAGTAAACTGATTTGCATGTATAATATGATGGGTGGATGTGCAAATTATGCTGGATTAAAACTTTGGAGATTTGAATGGATTTCAGAGAAATGTTCTCAGTATTTTTCATTCTTGTATGAAGAAAAAAGAAAAGCTACAATTTTACAATTCAGTTGTTTTATTCAGCAGTCAGATGGTAGTCCCTGAATGGGAAACAGTGGCTGTTACAGCTATTATACATGGCCCACAGCCTTACACAATTAGTGCAACTCAGTGCTGCTTTGCATTGTGCTGCTGTGGGATGGAGGGTGAATGATATCCATATTTAGAAAGACCTCATTGATTCTTCCTGAGGGAGGCACAAAAGATTTGTTGTCTGGCTAATCTTGAATAGCAGGACCTTAATGCCAGCTCTGCATGATAAAATCTCCTGTTGACTTCAGTCACTGTTTGAAAAACTTTGAGTGAGAGAGCATTTTTCTCTAGATGTGACATAACTGAATTGTGTTTCTGTTATTACATAACAGTATGGTGGTGACAGTGCACAACCACAAATAATTCACACAATCAGGTTCCCTCAGAAAGACACTGCACCCACCAAGCGGCCATTCTCTTCCTGTCAAACGTGTGTCCCCTTTAATAAAGTTGCACACAGGACTGAGTGATCCTTTAGCCAAAATAACGGATGATGAAGGATGAGAGAGGAGTGTGTAGTAAAGATTTAATTAAGCCTAACCATGGGATGTCTTACTGTGACTCCAGAGACTGGGACAGAGTGGTTTGTGTTTGCTCAGTGCAGCTGTGAATAATCTTTGCTCTATTCTTACTCTGACCTACATGTACTGAGAGGAAGATCTGAAAATATGTCAAAATGAAAGCCGGTTCTTTCTTCCTGTCTTATTTCCACTGTGAGTTCTGCCAGAGGGGCTCCTTATGGTAAATCATATGTTAACCTTAGCTTGTCAATCTTGGCTGGTGATCATTTGGGACATAAGCAACATCTGCACTGCATGTCTCTGCTCTGCTGAATCTCTCCTGTGGTACATTTGCAGATTGTTGCAGGTTTACAAGCAATTTTCACTTCCTTCGTCTTATCCCTGTGACGTAGATTTTTATGGTCTCTATGGAAGACTCCCATCGGCACTTTACTTCATTCCTTTTTAAATCAGTTCAGTCTCTTTTGCTCCTACTCAGTGTGGGTTACCATGGATACCACTCCCAAATGGTTTGGCTTGTACATGAATTTGTCTTTGAGTTTTGCTTGGAGTGGATTGGAATGTTCTTTTTTGTGCAGCCAAAGTAAACATAATTTGGCAATCAAGCATATGATTTTTTTTATTTATTTAATGGCTATTCTATCCTATTTTGTATTGTATTTTATTCTATTCTAACAGATTAAAGGCACAGAATACACCAACAGATGAAGCTTTCATTAGGGTACTGATCATTAAGTCTCTATTAAAAATGCAGTATCAGCTACCAGAGGACACTAGAGTGTTTCTAGCTACTCTGAAAAAGCCTAACAATCTGCTGAATATAATCTAGTTTGAGCCTTCAGGAATCAAAACTACACCACTATAGATTCTTTATTTCTGGCCGACCCAAAACCAGCATCCTAATACTTCACTTGGCTACTTCTAAATCCTCACATAAACATGTGGACAGTGAGGCGTGCCCCTTATATGGACCACCATAAATGCAATTTGTTTTCTTAGACAAGAATGTTGGATGGAGAGGATTGGGTGGTTTAATTTGAGGAGGACTTAATCAGGGTTCTTTTGGAATCAAGGGAAGCATCTCCCACTAAATCTTCTGACTCATTTCTGCTGCACTTCACTCCCCTGTGAGTCCACTGCATCAGAGCATCTCCATATTTCATACATGGCAGGTTCTGTAAGATCTTAAGGAGCCACCCACATTCAGACATGTGGCTAACGGGTCTAATTCTGGCTGTGTGAAATATTTACCACTGCAGGATCCGTAGATAACATCCCTGGCTTCCATGGGGATTTCTCATGGGACATCAGTCAAGGTGAAATGCATTTTCCTGAACATCTCCATCTAATGTGTTTTCCTGGCTTCTTCACTCTAATCATTACAGTCCAAAATAAGATGAGATTTGCTTTGTATTAGCCTGCCACACTGGATATTTTGGGTTGGACTTTAAAAGCAATGTGGCCTGGCTGTGTGTGCATCCCCTCATCTCTTATGTAATTCCACCCAATGGCAACACAGAAATAAAAAAGTAAGTTTGTAGAGAGTAACTTTATCTTACATAGAGTTAATTGGAGATGGCTGGAGAACTGAAGGTTGTTTACTGTGCCAGCATGAGTGTGGAACAGCACAAAGCAAAACATCCAGATTCTTGCTTATGGCTCATTATGGCTGATATGTCAGGGCAGCATGAAAGCTTGTCTGAGGCAGTGTTCTGCTTTAATGCTGTTAATATGTGATGGTATAAGCCTGATTGATCCCTGTCAGAGGGGTCTTAAATCAACAGACAACCACTGATTTACTCTCAGCAGAACCTACGAGGTGCCTAGGACACCTGCTAGCAGCCAGCTGACAGACACTTATGCCTGCTAACCAACAGCTGACACAAACTGATGCCAATGCACTGTGCTGGAGAGGCTGAGTCACACATGCTCAGATAGATCCTGCTCTCAGGGATGCTGGGTGTCGCACAATGTGAGCTCCACTGTACTGTCATTCTGAATCACATCTCATACACGTGGTATGTCACAGATGGAGTCTCAATTAGCTGTGGTGTTTTGTAACCCGCATGCATGGGGAAAAAGTATAGATAATACAACAAACCCTAGTCATCATCTACAGTGTGAACACTGTTTTTCCTGTAACAAAATGGGTTATGTCAAAGCTAAGTATCATTGCTTCAGCCAGATCAGCACAGTTCATCTGTAGTGATTTCTAGCTGCAGTGAGACTGCTTCACTAAGCAGTTTTCCAGTGGCAGTCACATGCTCTGGGCGGGTGGCTGAGAATCAGCTGTCCCCATTATCAATTCGGACAATGCAGAAGACGGTGGAGAGGTGAGACTTTGGGCATATGTGTGTAGCACAGGACAAGCTAGGAAATATATAATGTAACCAACTTTAACCTAGCAAGATTACAGGCAAGGAAATTCTGCATGCGAGAGAGAACTTTGTTCCACCAACAATGAAATCAATATTCAATAATGAAAACAAGCTGTAGCTGCAGCGCTATGTCAGACATCTACTTCCACTACAATTGAAGAAATTACAGTACTTCTGCACAAAACTGAATTTGCTCATCACTGTGCATATAATACATGCTCACTAGTGTAGGAGGAACACCAGCAGTGACCAGCAGTGTGTAGGAGAGGCCCAGCTCTGCAGCCAGTGCTTTTTAGTCTGTCTGTAAACTTTCTAAAAATGTAACCGCCAGATCTCCTTTGCCTCATGATGGAGAAAATTAATGACAAAGCACCTTACACTGCAGAATAAACAGGCTACCAGCAGTTCCCCCGGAAATGCCCATGCAGCTGTCCTTAGAGCTCCATATTCAGAAATGAACAGAGACCGCATTGCTGCTCTGAGACTGAGCCCCACTCCCCCTCCCTCCTCATGAAAACACGCACAACCACGCCTCCAGAGGCACGCGCACAAGCGCAGGCTCTGACACACCTCCTCATTTCCTTCCATCACACACACACACACACACACACACACACACACACACACACACACACACACACACACACACACACACACACACACACACACGAATACAAAGACACAAGCGAGTGTGAAAGCAGCGCTGGGGGAAGTAGAATTTACAACATGCAAGGCGACATGAAGGACGAACGCTCTGCTCCGGGAATCTCACAGCAGGTGCGTCAGGGCTGAAGCGGCACCTCACGGAGAGCAGGCTGCTGTTTCACCATGTCCCTCTCATCCGATCAGCGCACTGACGAGACGGTAAGGCCTCTCATTCAAAAATTTACAATTTGACCAAACTTAGACCAACTCATTCTCCCCAGCTTTCTGCCTTCTGCCCTGATTTGAACCCGCTACTTTTTTCTTAATTTGCAAATGATGTAATTTTGGACTCAAAGGTATTAGGTCAAACCCAAAGGATGGAGCGCCGTCCGTGCCGCAGCACCAAAATAAAAGGGGTGCTCAAGTGCGTTTGAGCGAGTATTTGGTAATGCTAGATGAATGCGCCTTGGTATGACCCCGTGGGGAGGCTTCAGGCGAATCTGCATCACATTTGTTATTGTCTAGGAAGAAAAACAGTCTTCGATGCTGCTTTTATTTACAAATTAACTAACAAATATGAACCCAATGAGCACTGGCCCGCATGTAGAGCCATCATCTTATGCAACAAAAATATGCAACCTTCAGTATATGACTAGCCTATAATAGCAATATCACTGGTAGCCTACATCCTTTGATAAGGTCAATATAAATAGCACTTGCTGGATTTTGCCCCCACAGAGAATATTACAGCAATTCTGTTTGATTATGAGTCATTTTTTTCAGACTGAGATTTAGTCCTCAGTGTGCAAGTCCAGGAGTGTTTCATGGTTTCTTTGCTGTGTGCTGTAGCCATGGAGACAGTATGTGGCATGTGGTTTTATACTTGTGCTAGAAAGTGTCTCTCGACTAAAGAAAGGCTTCAGACCATGAAGATGAGTAAAGAAAGGAATGCATGTGTTTAGTTAGCCTTGGCATCTTTTCCTGTTCTCAAATTTTAATCTACATAGTTCATTTCAGTAGTGGAAAAGCCTTAATATTTATACAGGGACTCTACATTATTAGTTCTTATATTTTATTAATATCTTGTGGCAAATATGTACAATAGAATTGGGTTGTCATTTGAGACAGATACACTGTGGTAAAGCACTACTCACTGAATGTTCACTCTTTACATCCTGCACCTTAATTGTCCGATATTTTTATACCATATAATACCCTTAAATCTCACCTTTCTGTCTCTCTGACACTTCATCTCATTCATTTAAACTGCAAAGGAGCTTAAAGAGAAGTTTCATTACCCATCCATCATCCTTTCCATATCACTAATAGGATAGTAATAATGCGTTCTTTCTGCTGTATTGGCACAAATGACACAAAATTTGCCCAACACTGCATTCAAATTGTAATGACATTAAGTCATCAAATATACATTAGCAGCCTTAGTCCAGCTGACAGTAGTGCAGTGTGTAACCTGTAGTTTTATGACTAAAAAGGGAACAGAAAAGGTTGGGAAATTTGCTTTTAAACTACAATGCATTTCCCTACTACGTACTTAGAATATCTGATATTGTTCAGCTCATACTTGTACTTGTTCAGAATATTCTCATTCTCAGGTATACTTATACTTATTTAGCATGTAATAGTGTTTACTATATAGACGTTCACTATTGTCAGATATCTATCTATCTATATCTATCTATCTGTCCGTCCGTCCGTCCGTCCGTTTATCTATTTATCTACCTACCTGTCTGTCTGTCTATCTGTGCAGTCGCAAGAAAAAATAATGGTACTGTTTGCAATTGCCTGGTTTTCTGCATAAATTGGTCATGAAACGTGATCTGATTCTCACCAAAGTCACAAATGTCAACAATCACAATATTTCTAAGATGATAAAACACAAACAGTCATGATCTTTCATGTTTTTACTGAGCACACCCATTAAGCACACAAAGTGATGGTGGAAAAAGTAATAGTGACTGTGTTTTAATAACTGGTCGAATCACTTTTGGTAGCAATAACCTGAAGAAGGCACTTCCTGTAGCTGTGAATTAGACCTGCACAGCATTCAGGAGGAATTCTGGACCATTGTTCCTCACAGAACAGCTTCAGCTCAGTCATATTCTTAGGATGCCTGGTATGAATGGCTTTCTTGAGGTCATTCCACAGTATTTCTCTTGGGTTGAGGTCTGGACTCTGACTGGGCCACTCCAAAAGGTGGATTTTGTATCTCCGAAGCCTGTGGTAGATTTACTTCAATGCTTAGGCTCATTGTCCTGCTGCATCACCCAGCTTGTTCTGAGTTTCAGCTTGCGAGCAGCCATCCTGACACTTTCCTGTAGAGCACCTTGATAAACTTGGGAATTGATTTTCCCCTCCACAATAACAAGCAGTCTATATCCAGAGGCAGCAAAGCAGCCCCAAAGCATGATGCTCCCTCCACTGTACTTTACTGTTGGGATGGTGTTTTAATGTTGGTATGCAGTTCTCTTTTTATGCCATACATAGTGCTGTGTGTTCTTCCTAAACAATTCCACCTTTGTCTCATCTGTCCACAGGACATTTGCCCTGTAGTGTTGTGGAGTGCCAACATGGTCTGTGGCAAACTTCAGGCGCGTTGCAATGTTGTTTTTGGAGAGCAATGGCTTCCTTTGTGGTGTCCTGCCATAGATACCATGCCTGTTCTATATTTTGCATATGGTTGACTCATGAACAGAGATGTTAACCAACTCCAATGAATCCTTTATCCAATGAATGAAGTCCTTGGCTGTTACTCTAGGGTTCTTATTTACCTCAATGAGCATTCTGCATTGTGCCTTTGGACTGATCTTGGCTGGGTGCCCGCTTCTATGGAGAGTAGCCATAGTACTAAATCATCTCCATTTTTACACAGTATTTTTAATTGTGTAGCACACTGACACTGTTTGAGTGTTTTTACAAGTCAAAGTAGTTTTAAACCACACCTCCATTCTCGTTCCATTGATTGGACTCGAGGTTTGCTACAATCTCACTTCAGCTGATGTTTAGTGACATCAGAAGCTTTGTGTTGTCATGATGTTTTCCACTATCACTTTGTATGTTTAATGGGTGTGTTCAATAAAGACATGAAAGATCATGACTGTGTTTTATCAGCCTAGAAATATTGTTTGTTGATATATGTGACTTTGGTGAAGATCAGATCACATTTCATGACCAATTTATGCAGAAAACCAGGAAACTGTAAACAGTGCCATTACTTTTTCTTGTGACTATATATATATACATACAGTGGGTACGGAAAGTATTCAGACCCGCTTAAAATTTTCACTCTTTGTTATATTGCAGCCATATGCTAAAATCATTTAAGTTCATTTTTTTCCTCATTAATGTACACACAGCACCCCATATTGACAGAAAAACACAGAATTTTTGACATTTTTGCAGATTTATTAAAAAAGAAAAACTGAAATATCACATGGTCATAAGTATTCAGACCCTTCGCTGTGACACTCATATATTTAACTTAGGCTCTGTCCATTTCATCTGATCATCCCTGAGATGGTTCTACACCTTCATTTGAGTCCAGCGGTGTTTGATTATACTGATTGGACGTGATTAGGAAAGCCACACACCTGTCTATACA